TGGAATGCTACAAAGTATCTTCGAACCTTTTCGACTTTTTACACTCAAAAAGTCATACGATGATAGATAAAATAATTAATAATTAGTAATTATTGAACTGTCAGTTTCTGTCAGCTTCTGTTATCAATCTTTAGAGAAATAATTGGTATTTATTAATTCTAATATGTGCATACAGGACGAGTTTTGAATTAAATACGGAATTTTCATTGTCACAGGATGGACCAGGGACCAATCAGAACGTTTCTCTGGTCTACACCAACTCCGACCTGCATTCGCATTCGGAGGAGGTGGCAAAGTTCACGGTGCCGAAATTGACAAAGAAATGGTCGAAGATCGTCATCAGGGTATCAACAACGGACGTCATTTTATACCTAAATTGTCACGAAATGTCCAGGAGAAGAGTGACCAGGACTCCACTGGAATTGGTGTTCGACACGGCCAGCACGTTGTACATCGCACAAGCTGGGCCTTATATCCAAGAGAAATATGACGTGAGTACATAAACAATTTTATCACTGGCAATTACCGTTGAAATTGATATAATCACTGGAACGCCGCTGAACCAGATTGGATCTGTTTTGATTTTCGATAACGAAGCCGCAATTTCGCTGCTAGTTTGATAAACGAATCTAGTAATTTGCTGGATCGATGTCAGTTAAATCATCGTGAATTTCGTTTTCATCGAAACATAGGAATTTTAGCATCGACGTGGTACTGATCGCAAAAATGTCGCATACGTTTGAATTAAAATGCTAATTTTGAGAGAAATCATTTTTTAATTCGTGATTAAAAGAATAAATTTTACTATTCTTTATTATACCGAATTCGTTGCTTATATCGTACGTATCTCTTCGGCTTAGAGTGACTCGTTGAAAATAAAATATAAAATTTGGCGAACTTTGCTACAGGTGGATGAACGAAGCTAGAAATTACTCGCACCGGTGTCAATTAAATCCCTATGAATTTCGATTTTCTAGAAACGTATAAATTTTAGCCTCGACGTGTTATTAATAGCAAAAATGTCGCATATATCTAATATTTCGTGGCTTTTTAAATGCTTTACCATTACCATTAAATCACGTAATTAAATTATCATTTAATTCCCATTAAAATGGTAATATTTTAACGTATAATTATTATTTTTTAATTTACTATTAAAATAAAGTAAATTTGATAATTGGTTAATGTTGCTGCTTTATTTCTCTGTGCTTGTATAATTCTCTGAGTCTATCAACGAGCCACTCTAATGCACATTTTTGCAGTAGGAAACTTTTTGAAACAATTATTTTATTTTAGAAGGAAAAAGGAAAATAGATGGATATACATATACGAATTTATTTGCAGAGTATTATTATTCATATTTTCATATTTATGGCGAGAATTAAAATTAAATAACGAATTGCGCGTTACAAATGTTATCGTAGGGATGCTAATAGGGTGCAAAAGGTGGAGAATATTACAGATTACAAAATATTATAATAAAATTCACTTTCATCAAACATAATAAATTAGATATGACGAATACGATAAAAAATATTTGAAAGCATGATATTTGTGGAAACGTAATTTCCATTTGAATAATCTTCCATTACCAAATCCAGGGAAGACAGCAGGCTTAATTTTCGAAAATTTAGTTCAATATTAGAGTATCGATATTATAAAATTGATCAAATGAATTTCAATCTGCAAATTTGAATTATCTCAATACTTTTATTATACGAACATTCAGAAATATCACTTTATTAGTGTCCTCATTTGTAACTGAGTTTTCAAGTATGCTAAAACAATGAATTAAAAAACAGATTCAATCGTGCATTTTGATCGGTCGCTTTCGTCTTGGCACAGAATAAATCGTTTAAGAGAATAATTCGCGAAAATTTTAATGTTATTAATGAGAAACGCGTTCACAGGAGCATCTCGCTCTTCATTTTAGCCGTTGACAAGACGAAAATTATCGGTCGATGGGTTCAGAGTCGTTCCGTGCTAAATCGAGTACTAAAACTTGTTTCTCGAGTCTCGTCGAGTCGACACAGACTTGCCAACGATTACAGATTAACCTCGAAACGCAATGGTCACAGAAGCGTGAGTAGAGAATCTCTACACAGTTATATCTCTGCTAAGTTAAGAATTTAACATTAAATCAGTCCAATGAACAAATCACACGATACAGGAAAACGAAAAGAAATATTTGATCCGAATGAAACAACGTAACACGCGGTTAATGGGAAGGAATCGTGAAAAGAGAAATGCTATATCGAATTTGCATATTTTCTCTTTACATTCTATTTCGAAATAATAACGAAGGTTGCTTTAATGATATAATGGTAGAAACGATGGAAAATTAGGGAAAACGTAGAAACATAAAAATGGTGCATTAAAAGTTCGTATATTCCGTTCCAACGATAAAATTGAACGAAATAAAAAGAGCAATTTCAGCAAAGTAAGAGTAGAGGGGGAAAGAAAAATTAGGGAAATGAGGATTTAAAAACGCTATATGGAAATTTCATGTATTCTCTTTAAACGATGAAGTGCAACGAAATGAAAGAAAAGCGATTTCAATGGAATAATGGTAAAGAAGAGAAAGAATTAATGGAATGTACGAAGATGGGAACACGTTATATCGAAATTCTGTGTATTCTCTTTAAAGCATACCTCGCAGTCACTGTTCTTGCGAGCAGCTTTTCTTGGATTTGCATATTTCATTGGATTCCACGTTCCGCACTCGAGATATTCGGGATATTTAATTTTAGTGATTGGAAAGAACAATTCCTTCGAGACCTTCCTCTCTTATCACCACAAAGTGGAGGAATATTTCCATTAACATTCTGCTGCGTATCTCACGAATCATCTCTTAATAGCTATTTGATGATCGTTACAATAAGTTGTTGCTATTATCAAATTTCCATAGAATAGCATTAAAATACAAATATTAGATATTATAACGGATATACGTGTATGGAGGTAGCAAAAAATGAGGTGGAATTTCCAATTATGAAATGAAGAATACTATAGTCCAGTCTAATATTAACATTAACACCATACTTGTAGTACTAAAGCTAATGAAAACATATCGTTAAGCGAAATGGGTCATAGATGGACGATAGTATAACGGAATTAACCTTCTTCATTAAACTATTTAATTAAAGACGCTTTACTATAAAACTCCCTGGAAACCATAGGATGTCGTAAAACCTCACTATAGAAACCCCTCTGGAAGCTTTTCAGAATTCACAGGGTGGTAAGAGGAAATCGAAGGGTAAAGTATAGCTAGAGGATCGAATTAACTCTCCGACAGTGGATATTCGTACGCATGGCGATCCAGGGTCAAATATGACCCAAAAGTAGTACAATTTAGAACCCGTGTATTTTATCGTGATACGTACTCTGTCGTTTTAGACCTATCGTCATAATAAGTGGAATAAAAGAAATATATTCGTGACAAGACCGGCATATATTCATTTTCTTCGTATTTGTTACGAAAAGAAAATAAATATATACAGGGTGTATCGGAATTATATCATGAGTACTACACAATAATTTTATACTCATTTTATAGCATATTACAGCGTGATGGTAATCAGTAGATTAGTTATATAAATAAATAATAACATACATATCTACATTCGTGCGATTACTCGATCTCACACACTTGCATTCACGCTAATAAAACCAAATCCACACCTTGCTTCCCCACCATAATCATTTTTATTGTATTAAGTAAGAATAGATGGCGATGTTGCCATAAATCGCAGGATCCCAACATTTTAAAATAAAAATACAATCAGGTATGATTCACACTAAATAGAAATTAAATCCGCTCAAAGGGACCACGTAATATCTCTGCTACTCTACAAAAGCAACACACAGAACATTCTATTTCCACAAAATCACCAAAGTCTTCACACTTCTACCTCGCTCTTAAGAACTTCAAAGCCAATTCCAGTTGCAAAAAAAAAAGGAAAAAAGAAATTATCTTAGTTACTCGCTTGCGCGAAGTTTAACCACGCCTCGAGGTCCAATTTAGGCTGCTTAATAATTCCAATCAGTTTGGCCAAACAAGATGTTCAAGGGCGTTGGCCTCTCAGCATCCTCCGTGCCCCGAATCGCACGAACCGGTGCTCCTTATCAAGATTTCGTTCGCTAATCCCGCGAAACGGCTCTCGGAAGTCTCCACGCACCGAATTAATTAAAGTTCACCCCGGTCTGAACTACTTTTCCACGGTTTTTCACCCCCTGCCAGCGTCTCGCGACGCGACCAGTTTTCGACGCCCCTGTCCTTAATTAACCATAGTCTCGACGGGGTGGAACAACTCGCGAAACGATCGCGTTTAAATAATATTCGCGGAGAAGCGCGATATTCCAGACTCCTCGCCTTGTTCCAGCCGTGTTTGAACAATTTGCATGAAACAGGAGGTGCAAATTAGGGGCCTGCTAGTTGTTACCGGATGTATGGGCCACGACAACTAAGTATCGAGGGTTTTTAGTCTATCATCGGGGATTATTTCGCCACCAGCCGGGATATTGTCGTTTTTAATCCGTTAATTGGGAACGGGATACTGCGAGCTCGAGTCGTTATGATTTGGTTATGAATAATTGGGTATCGAGAAAGTTTCTGATTTTAGTTAGCCACTGTAGAGGATGTTGCAGGCTTCTTTTCGTGATGAATTATACGAGGATGCGTTTCACGGGTAAAAATGAGGAAAGCATGTTAAGTAAACTCTTATATAGACTAGCAAACGTTTCATTTAAAAGTTATGACAAAAGTATGAAGTTATAATGAACTTTCTTTTGCTTGCTGCCTTCCTATAGAGCGAAGAAAAGTTAACGATGTATAATTATATGAGATCGTTGAAGAGAGTCAATTCGTAGAAGTTAAAATTTGGTTGAAATTAGTTGGATGAAATTCATGTTTATATTTAATGTCTGTTGTTATGATAATGTTTAGTAGTATATTGAAGCTTGTATCAAAGAAAGTTCAATATTGAAGAAAAAATAAATCCGTAGCTTCATTTTTTAAAATGAATATCATAATTTTTCAACGAGATATTGGGGAGAATATATTTATATATTTTTTCTATTTTTGCTAATAGAACATGCTGTCATAATTTAATGGGAAAGACCTGAAATATTCTTCGTATCTATTTCATTCGCAATAAAATCGTAGAAAAATTTTATGCCATTTTATTAGTAGTAGTATATTGAAGTATATTTGTATTAGTATTATATTTATTTTTAGTAGTAAGTAGAAAACTTTTATGCCATTTTATTAATAGTATAATATTCAAGTATATTTTTATTAGTATTATATTTATTTTTAGTAGTAAGTAGAAAACTTTTATGCCATTTTATTAGTAATAGTATATTGCAGTATATTTTTATTAGTATTATATTTATTTTTAGTAATATATTGAAGTTTGTATCGAAGAAAATTTAATATTGAAGAAAAAATAAATCCGTAACTTCATTTTTTTAAATGACTGTCACAATTTTTTAATAGATGAGATATTGGGGAGAATATATTTATATATTTTTCTTATTTTTGCTAATAGAACATGCTGTCATAATTTAACGGGAAAGACCTGAAATATTCTTCGTATCTGTTTCATTCGCAATAAAATCGTAGAAAAATTTTATACCATTTTCATGTATGCTAAAGTGATGAGTATAATTGTCATGTGGCGAATATGTGCAACACTCACTGATATTTTAGACGTAATAATTTATCTTAATTTTTCTAAATCGCTAATTTTTCAGCTCGATGAAATGTGATTTCTTTTTTAAAAATTTTTTAGATTTATGATTAGAGAAATTTCTTACTAACAAACTGTTGCACAGATTATCGTTTATTTTCGAATTTGATTGGAAGATGAAAGTCGAAAATCCTGTGTGAATTTTGGGATTTTATTGGGAAATTGAAGGATCGAAAGATAATTGGCTGAGAAAATTTTTATCCTTCGGAGAACGATCGAGAAGATTTATAGTAAAAATTCAACTTCTCTTTTTAGTAAGACGTGACATTTTTAGACTTTTTTTTCCTTTTTTAAGTTTAATATTTCTGATCTTAACGAAGAGTCTCTGTACGAATGTACGTTGGTTATTTATTAACGTTTAAGAAAGTTAAGAGGCTGGTAGATAAAATTGGTAGCACGCTAGAAAAAGGTGAATTATTCTGAAAGAAGTTTAAGGAAAAGAATTTCTAATTATGTTTGAGATCCCTATAGCTCTTTTTTCCTCCTCAAGTACTTGTCCACTCTCGTGATGTTGATATAAAATCGTCTTAACGGGAGGAGTTTTATACACTTTGAAGCTCGAAGTCCTGAATCTTTCGCCCTCTTTTACTTAAAGGAGTTTGCAATTTTGTGGAACAGGTTGGCAAATAGAAATAAGCGAAAACGAGATGCGCAAGTACGCTTGTATGAAAGTTAGCTCGTTTAGCTTTAACTTGAATTAAAAGCAGAACAGGATTGTACGATTCCTGGTAGAAATGGTATTAATCTTTGTATCCTTGTATTCTCGTACCTCTAACAATGATCAAACACGGTGATATTCATAAACACTTGCACTTATAATCTCCACTGTGCTTTTTAATTTTGCGTTCATGATATTCTAAATTTTTGGTATCAGTTCTGTGTAAAATAAATATTTTTACAGTAATAAAAATGAAATGCAAAATTATAAATAATTAGAAATTTATGTATTAATTTAATTACGTATTTTTGTTTTATATGATATATCCTGTCCTAACTGAAGTTCAAATTAAAAAATTGAACACTAACAATTATGGTTAATTAAAAATTAGTATACTCCTTCAATAATTTTAAAGTACTCCTTTCATAATTTTTTAAAACTAGAACCAGACACGAAGTTATAAATAATTCAAAATTAATATATTAGTACTTTTAGTTCAAAGTTTAAGGATTTGTTATTCATTATTATTTTGTAAATAATTTTCGATATATTCGATTTTGTGTGACAACTGAAAGCTAGGTTAAGAATAAATGATTCGAAAGAAGATTAAAAGTAATTAAAAATTGATATATCGATTTATCATAATATCCTGAGTGATTAGCGCGAAAAGCCGATTACTTCGTGAATGATCCTCGATATATCAGATTCTGTGTCGCAACTGGAAACTAGATTTCAAAGTTTCCGTGATTCAAACACTGAAATATTAAATACAACTCGCGTGGATGGCTACTCGTGTTTCCAGACGAGGAAAGTCTTCTAACCGCTCTCCTTCGCACCTTTTTGTTTCAGAAGTGTCCTATGATTTACTCGAGGCTACAATGGCAACGAAAGACGACAATAATTTGTACATCGGCGATGGTCTCGACGGATTTCCGAGTTTTGGCTTTCGCCCCGGCTCCAAAGTTAAACAACCCTATCGATTATACCTGCCGGAAAAATTGCCGGCGGAGTTCACTCTGGTGGCAACTTTCAAGCCGACGTCCTTCAGGACCAGTTATCTCTTCGCGATTCTAAATCCCTTTGAAACAGTGGTGCAACTGGGCATCCGAATTTCCGTAAGTACCACTCGCACGCGGTCCTTTGTGACCTTTTGTTTTTACGTGTCAGTAGTTCTTATAGTTGACTGACGTCTTTGTATGAAGAGTGCGTGGTCGAGCTCTGAAAAGTAATCAGTCGATGCTTCCTATGAATATTTTATATAGAATTATTGCTCAGGGTACTGTTTTATGTGTTGTTTCGTGATTTATGTAAAAGCACAGGTAGATTATGACTCACAATGCTCTCTATTGAGTTTTTATTTCTATAATACAGTGGTTCTTATAGTTGTCTGATGTACTTGCATGTAAAAAGTGTGATTGAAGTCTGAAAGCTAATCAGTCGATGCTTCTTATTAATATTTTGTATAGTATCATTACTCAAGGTACTATTTTATGCATTGTTTCGTGATTTATGTAAATGCATAGTTAGATTATGACTCACAGTGCTTTCTATTGAGTTTTTATTTCTTTCTTTTTTTTTTATTGAAGCATTTGAAACCTCATACGAGGTTTATTTCTGCTGGACATATATATAATATTTGCTTAATACATTAATTTATATGACTAAATTTCATTACACTTTTAAATTACAATTTTTCAAGAAAGTAGAAATACATTTGCAAGCCCAAATATTTGGCTGAGCAATTATAGATTCTACATTTTTGGGGAAAGTTTTATTTCTATAAGACAGTAGTTCTTATGGTTGTCTGATGTACTTACATGTAGAGTGTGTGATTGAAGTCTGAAGGATAATCAGTCGATATTTCCTATTAATATTTTATACAGCATTATTAATTAGGGTATCATGTTATGTGTTTTTCTGTAATTTACGTAAAAGTATAGTTAAATAATAACTCGCAGTGTTTTCTGTTGAGTTTTTATTATTGGAAGACAACAATTCTTATAGTTGTCTGATGTACTTTCATGTAAAGAGTGTGATTGAATCTGAAAGGTAATCAGTCGATGCTTCCTATTAATATTTTATACAGAATTATTAATTAGGGTATTATATTATGTGTTTTTCTGTAATTTTCGTAAAAGCACAGTTAAATAGTGACTCGCAGTTATCTGATGTATAATACTTGCATGTAGAGAGCGTGATTGAAGTCTGAAAGGTAATTTGTCGGTGCTTCCTATTAATATTTTATACACCGTCATTAATTAGGCTATTGTTTTATATGCTGTTTCACGGTTTATGTAAAAGTATAGGTAGATTATATCTCACAGTGTTTCCTGTTGAGTTTTTATTAGTATAAGACAGTGGTTCTCATTATTATCTGATGTACTTGCATGTACAGAGTGTGATTGAAGTCTGAAAGGTAATCAGTCGATGCTTCTTATTAATATTTTATATGCTGTTTCATGATTTATGTAAAAGCACAGTTAGATTATGACTCACAGTGCCTTCTATTGAGTCTTTATTCTTATAAGACAGTAGTTCTTATAATTGAATGGTGTACTTACGTATAGAGAATATGATTGAGGTATGAAAAGTAATCAGTGGATACTCCTAATTAATATTTCATTGAATTTCATTAACGAATAATTCATAACGAATTATTTTTATTATTGTGTTATGTGTTATTTCGTGGTTTACGTAAAAGCACAATTAAATCATAACTCGCCACAAGTTACACCTGTCATTTACCTCAATACAAAAGATTAAATATCCACCAAACCAGCGATTTTTAATCAACATATCGTAAGAATTTTTCAACGCGTATTTAAAAGACACGTTACATCTGATTATTTACTCTACGGTATTGATCTTTTCATTCTCAGATTGCCAAACGAAAGAACGAAAAAGTGGGAATTTCCATTGCTTCTAATGCTACTATTATTTTTCATCCAATCGAAACTGTATCCACTTTTTTCCCACCACGCCACAGAATTTGAACAATGAATTTACACCAGCCACGAAATAAAAGAAGATTAAACATCACCGACCAATACCAACGAAACTGAACTTCCTCGGCAGTCCGTCACCCATGCAAAAACCCGAAACCATCCCCTATAAACCACGCAGAGGCCAACGGATCTCTCACCCGTTCCGCGCACCCAGAGTCCGCCTTCTTTCAGCACATTGCGTCTCATAAAACCGCGAGGTAAAATAAAAAGCGTACGATCCGCGGCTGAATATAAAAGCAATCGGAAAATCGGCAAAAATTTCCAAGTACAATCGGTCGATTTATAACGGACCGGCTGCAGCGGCGCGATAGACTTTTAAGTCGACGCTCCCTATCGGCGAATGGAAGGCATTTCCTCATGTTTCCCAATACCTTCGAGGCCGTTGTTGCAGCTTCCACGGGTCTTCAAATTTCTTTGAGATCTTTCACGTTCCTCGCGGCACCGTTTCCATGGGTAATACCGGGGCTACGTGTTCCGCAGGAAAAGCAGCTCTCCGTCGCTTTCCACGTTCCGAACGAGCGTGTACGATCCCCATGGGGATCGATAGCGACGGGTCGCGGCCGCGGGAAAACACCTCGACTTTCGAATCCCCTGGCATTTTCCGCCGGCAGAAGCTTGAAAGAGACCTCGCGATAATTTTCCACGGCGAACGGTTCTGGTTTCTTGATCGCGACTTTCGCAACTCGTGCAATCCTGCTTTTTATTCGCGAATGTCTGTGTTCCGTCCCGGAGAGCGTCTTTATAACATGATTTTTATTCTAAGGTTTACACTTTTAACAGACCTAACGGTTTACGATATATTTTATATCGCGACTGCAATTCCGGAGGATAGATGTGCCTCACCGCCGTTCTAGCAGATTAAGTTGTAAAGGTAAAGGCGAAAGTTTAGGAATTTTTACAAGTACCAGACTCGACAGATGGGACCCACGTGTGACAGACCCAACAAGCGACGGACGGACACCACTTATAAATCACGTCATTGACTATCAAAAATCGGCTCCTTGACAGTTTCCTACTCCTCAGCCAAAGGTCCTTCCGTCACACCCTCTGTCCAATTAAAACTCCTTACTTTTCCACCACCAACGTTTATTTTGCCCAATCAGAACTAAACTGGAGAAAACACCGGACAGG